TAGGGTTCATTTAGGGTTTAGGGTAGGATCTAGAGCTTAAGCTTTCAGGTATTTAGAGGGCCTTTAACATGTGGGTAGTTGTCAAAATTATGGTCCCTTTTGGGGTACCCTAAATAATGGGTGCCGTATTATAATGAGGACCCAAAAAGGGACCATATTTTTGACAGCCACCCATGTTGCGAGCTCTGCAGGCTCCTATAATCAAACTGCTGTTGGTTTAGCAGGGTCTAATTCCCCTAAACCCTAAACCCTAATTGTGTCCTATAATCAAACTGCTGTGGGTTTAGCCGGGTCTACTTGGGTGGTTGTCAAAATTAGGGTCCCTTTTTGGGTCCTTGTTGTAGTACGGCACCTATTATTTAGGGAACCCCCAAAAGGGACCATAATTTTGACAGCTACCCAATTGTGATTTAAGCCTTCGAGCTTCAGAGTTCTAGAGTTTGCCTCTAGTGCCCGCAGCCGAACAATCCGAGAGTTGGCATATACCTTAAAATATCCCTAAGGGTCCATGTGCCCAAATAGTAGAACATTGGCCCTAAAGTACCCTCATAGGGACTACATTAAGGCCAATGTTCTACTATGTGGGCACATGGACCCTTAGGGTATAGTAGGATTCCCTATCTGATTCAAGGTATATTCGTTGACAAAGGGATTTTGGAAGGTCTGGATTAATTAGGGTTGTAGGCTTGCAGGGATGGCAGCCATCCCACCGATTCCGCTGTGGAGCTCTAGTTTAGGGGTTAGGGTTTAGGGGTTTAGGGTTTAGGACTTTAGGGGTTTAGGGGCTTAGGGTTTAGGGTTTATTATAGGCTTTTCTTTAAAAGCTAGGGTTTATGATTCAGTGTTTAGGGTTTAGAGGTTTAGGGTTTAGGGGTTTGGGGTTTAGGGGTTTAGGGTTTAAGGCTTCTCCCCTAAACCCTTAAACACCCGGCTTCAGCGTCGCGTCGGACTCCAGCGCAGAATCCCTAAAGTCGGCTTAGGGTTTAGGGCTGAGTGACTCAGGGCTTACCTGTAGGCTCCATTGTAGTTCCTTTTGGGGGATACCTTGTAAAATTAAAATCCTTAATATATAATTGGTTAAACCAAAAAAAGGAACTACAATGGAGACTATAGGTATAAAGCCTGAAGCTAACCCTTAACGTTACTAAACAGCTCTAAAGCCTGAACGCCGTTGCACCGAAGGTCTAAGTTCCCTTAAACTACCTACTTCAAGTCTACTGAATACAGTAGAGGGCTACGCGGACTGTGAAATGCTTCTTGAAGGGTTCCTTGAAAGGGTGCTGAAAAAGGTCTTATATAAGGGTCCTTTATGAGTTGAGTTGCGGCTTCTTTTAGGGTGTTTCTATAGGATTTATCGGATCTATCAGGTGTAGGGCCTAGGGTGAATAGAGTTTAGGGTTTTAGGGCTTCGACCCCCCAAACCCAAAACCCTAAACCCTTTTTTGTATGGCGAAGCTCCGTGAGAGCCTCTGTCTCGGTGGATCCGATACCGAGCTGTCCCAGTGCCCAGCGAAGGCTGTAGCTATACCTGATGGGTTTAGGGTTTAGGGGTGTTGGGTGT